TTTTTGAATTAGTATTTTTCTTTGCCTTGGATAAATACTCAGAAGTGGAATTGCTGGGTCATATAATAGTTCAATTGTGAATTTTTTGAGAAATCTCTATACTGTTTTCCATAGTAGCTGCACCAATTTACAATCCACCAGCAATGTCCAAGCATTCCCTTTTCTCCACATACTCGCCAGCACTTGTTGTTTGTTGATTTATTGATGACAGGCATTCTGATGGGCGTGAGGTGATACCACAGTGTGGTTTTGATTTGCATTTCCCTCATGGTTAGTGGTGGTGGGCATCTTTCATGTGTCTGCTGGCCATTTGTATGTCTTCTTTGGAGAAGTGTCTGTTTAGGTCCTCTGCCCATTTTTTTATTTGGATTGTTTGAGTTTTCTGATGTTGCGTTGTGTGAGTCCCTTATATATTTTGGACATTAACCCCTCATCAGATGTATCATTTTTTAATATCTTCTCCCATTCAGCGGTTTGTCTTTTTGTCTTATTAATGGTTTTTTTTGCTGTGCAGAAACTTTTTCATTTGATGTCTCATTCTTTCAATAACTACATACTTTGTTGGTGGCTTTGTCAAAATGTATCATTTAAATGTTTATTATCAAAGCAATACATTGTTTAAAGATTAGTACTAAAAGGTTTATAATGAAAAATAGCAGTATTTTTCTCTATTCATCTTCACACCCCCAATCTCACTCCCTAAAAACAAGTGTTTTCAATTGCTTGGGTCCTCCTTCTGGTGTTTTAATCCATATTTCTTAGTAATATACTTATACTGTTACTTCTTGATTTTTCAGTTTGAGATACTCTCTTCTGCCTTCCTGTTATGATAAACAAGAATCAGGACTTAGGAACAAGCCTACCCCCTACACACACACACACACACACACACACACACACACACACACACACACAGTTTCCCTCTCATCATTTTCCCAATATGATTATATAATCATTTTTAGTTATGTAACAGGTAATTAAAATAGATTTTTAAAGTCTCTGAGGTTGAATTTAGACTCCAAAGTTGAGAAAAATAGGTTCAAAAAGGCCCTGTGTTCTAAACAGAGATTCTAGACAATCACACAGGTCTTGCAGATTGGGTGGCCCCGAAGTGATGCTCCCAGCCTTAGCCATGACCTCCCTTGGGAGCTAACCAGGGGGCAGAAGTGGCCTGTGCTGGGGATTGCTCTGGGGAGAGCTGACAGTATTGTTTCCTGCCCCACACCCATGAAGCATGGGGGAAGGACTCCTCCCACTCCTCCTACACTGAGTGAGGGGGATTTCAAGAGGGTTCTCACAGAGAATGAGAGGTGCTCCCTGAAGTTTGAGGGGATAGTCACCTCACTTGGTGAATGACTCACACCTGAAAAAAACATTCTAAAGGCCAGAGCTTCCTGGAGCAGCCTGCCTGGAAGCAGGACAAAGAGTCAAGGGTGGCCAGCACTTCCAGGGATTGGCGGGGTGAGGATGTGGTTTTCTATGGGCCAGATTGGATTCTGTGGAACAGGGCTGCCAATAGGCAGCTTTCAGAAATTCCTCACCCAACAGCACTATCTTGAAGAGTAAACAATGACCCCAGGGAACAGAAGCCACGTGCTGAGGAGACAATTGTCAGTGGTCAGGCAACATGAGGCATTTTCCTGGTCTAGGAAAGTACAGGTAAAAATTCCTCAGTGGTGAGCTCCTCCCACCAAGTCAGCCTTGGACATAGGACTTATGGAGAGGACCCCCATGGCAGACAACAACTCTGAAGGTCAAGAGCTTTTCCCCCGGCCATGTCTCCTCTTTCCACGTCTGCATCTAACTCCAGAGGAGCCAGAGGCAGCACAGGGGTCTAGATGACGAGTGATGTTGAACCTCTCCACCCAGAGTTGCCAGATTTAGCAAATAAAAGTACAGGAAGCCCAGTTAAATTTGAATTTTAGATAAACAATGAATGCTTTTTTCAAGCGTAAGTACATCCTATGCAGTATCTGGAACATAATTGTACTGAAAGTATTTGTTGCTTTCTGGAATTCACATTTAGCTGGGCATCCTGTATTTTACTTGGCAACCCTACCCGCACTTCTTGCCCGCCCGCTGCAAACTTGAAGCCTGGGTCAGGCCCAAGCTGTGGGAGAGGAGGAGGATAAATTGGGTAAGAGTTCGGTATTCTCATACCAGACTACACTGGATGGACTTGGGGGAACCTGAAAAGAATTGAGGCAATACTTTAATAACCTAAAGTTCTTGCAATAGTTACAGAGACTGTCTGATAGTTCATCCAAGGGGCTGATGAAGAGAGAGGACAGAGAGGTTGGCTACTGAAACCTTCCCAATCTATCTTGTTCAATAATCTACTTATTGTTCATTATGTTCGGTTCAGCACTTAGGTTATTATTTCTGTATGTCTAAATATTATTTGTTGCTGAGGCAAGGTGCGAACTAAGATTGCATTTCTTATACAACTTCCTATTTTTTGAGTTAATAATTGCCCAGATAAAGTGTTTTTCATGCCATTTGTGTTCTCTCTTTCTGTCTTCAGTTGGGTTGTTGAGCTCTCTCTTACTAATTTATAGAAACTTACTTATATATTAAGAAAATTGGCCTAACAGAAAGCTCTCCTATGAGGAACTGGAAATGGCAAGTAACAGAGGGCATGCAAATCTTCTCTGACATTTGTGTTGGGAAGCTTAGATTTTCTCTGGGCCCTGTTGGCAATATCTAGTCTTGCTCCTCCAAAATGTTCTCAAGTCAGTAGTTTCTTTAAACATCCCTCTAATGCTTATATACTCAATTCTTGGTTGAAAACTTCCCAAGGAGGGTATGTAGGAGTAAGGCACAGCCTCGAAGCATTTTTCTCCTTTAGACATGATCGTTCATCCTTGTGAAGTAATTCCACGAAATTAACCCACACCAGGAAAATAGCTGCAAGTATCACCTCATAGAAATGATGAGAAATTTCTCTCATGCTACCATTACTATGTGGCTGGAACATGGCACACGAAGATTAAAATCTCAAATGTGTTCCTTCCTCTGTTTGTGATATTTTTTATTCTACTATGATAACAAATCTCATTATTATTTTCAGTTCCTTGTTATAAAATGTGGACCTTACTCCCTAACTGACTGGGGACTTTCGTCTCTAAGTTACCTCAGAAGAAATGGGAATTGTATGATAAGGGAAACGTTACATTTTAGGTGGCTGCCACTGCATATAAATTGCCAGTGTAAATGGTTGCAAACCACCCAGCTAATTTTCACATATAATTCTTTCCAAAGAGTCCCTTTGTTCTTGAGGGACACGAAACATTCTAAAAACAAGTCTGTTAAAATATGAATTCAGAAAAGATGTTAGAAAATAAGAGAAAGAAAAACTGCATTTTGCACTGGCTGGCAATAGAGTCCCACATTTGCCATTGATTCCTCACAAGAGCCCAGGAGGTGCTCCATTTTCTTATTTTTATTTATAAACTCAATTTTAAGACCATAATGAGGCATGCTGATGCTCCTATTTCACTGTCTAATGTATTTATTTCCCTACAATGAGTGACAGGCAGGAAGGCTGGATTCCAGAATCCCTTGGCCCTGAATAAAAATCTTTGCATGTCTTGCAGATGCCAGCTCTATTGAGTCCCAGCGCTACCACCCTCAGCATACGTAACATTTCACATTCCTGTTTTGCTTTTATCTCTGCAATCAATGGGAAACTAGATGCTTGAGCACTCATCTTAGAAATTGAAAAATGTCTCCTGTTTTGTCCCTCTGAAGCACAGAAGTTTTTCTGTTGGGTTTTGTGTTTATTTGACAGAGTGATGAGATGAAAATCTGATCAGTGCACACATCAGCTCATCAAGCAAATGCAACACAGGGTATCCCAAGCACTGCGGAGGAAGATCAGGAGTGTTTGCTGAGGATGCTCATGCTCATGTTTGCTGAGGAGGCACAATGGTAGGTGTTTTCATTTGTGCAGTGTTTATTGAAATCTTGCAACAGATTCCTCGAGGTAGATCAGAAATCTGGATGTCAGAAAGTCAGATTACTCGCTGAAGTCCTCCCACTGGTTCAGTGTCGGGAGGTTTTCCCACAGCTCCCTGCCTCATACCCAGCGTGCCAGCCGTACACACGGCAGGCAGTTCTTCTTAAGCTGATAATCATTATGCAAATGTCTCTGGTTAGTTTGGGACACACGCACACACACAAATTACCATATTTGAATAGCCCCAGATGTACGGTTTCATGAAATTGATGGAAGTAATGTTGGAGAAATGCTGGAATCACAGGCAAACACTGATAAATAAAAGGCTTGCAGAGTTAGACCAGTTAACAATTAAAGAGGGACAAAATGGGCATAATAGAATCTTCTGAAGAGAAACACTTGGAAATCATAGATTAAGGGAGGGAGATGGGGAAAAAAATGAAGGGCCTCAACATGTTTGTCAAAGCAGACTTTTTTTTTAGTGGACTCCTGGTGGGGCCCAGAGTAGGCTGCCCCAAAATATGTCCCTTTGGAACATTGATTATTTGAATTGAAATTGCTTAAAAGCAGCTTGTGGAAGGGGGATGCCTTAACCCCCCCACTTGGTCTCCCTGAGTGTGGGAAACAAATCTTCCCGGGAAGGGTGCTCTCCCTGCACGGAAGGCTGACAGAGAGACATCCTGATCGCCAGAGTTGGGGAATTCAAGGCCCAGAGCCTGTACAGACCAACCTTGTTCCTTCTTTTGACTTACTCCCCCCAAGCCCAGACTTTGTTTAGATTCCTCATTAACGAGCACCCAAACCTGTTTCTTCCTCCAGTCAAATCCTCACAAATGTATTGTTTCTTTGTCTAAAAAGATATAAAAGCTACCTGCTTTGCAGTCACTCTCTGGGCATCAATTTTATGATTTCGCATGAGCTCGAAATTCACTTGTTTTTTCTCCTCTTAATGTCTCATGTCAACTTTATAATTAGTCAGGTCACAAGAATGCAAGGGAGGCAAGCAGAAGGTCCCCCACCTCCAACACTCCTCAACCCTAAATCAGCACTTTATTTTTCATTCTAAAGTTAGGACAGACTGAAAATTACCACCCAACTTTTGTTTAAAATATGTATCAATATAGATTATTGTTATAATTTTAAATTTCACTTTCTAAGATCCAGTTCTAATCAGTTTTCCCATTCTTACGTAAGTTTTTTTGTCCTGTTCCCTTTATGTCTTCCTGAGGCACGAGCTGTCTGCGGCTGTGTGTCTCCTGGGCTTTGTCTCGCTGTTTCACGTCCCGAACCTTGGTCACGGGGTCCCATCTGCCTGCGGGACCTTCCTCTGCGGGGAAGCACCTCCTCGCTGCGCTCGACCCTCTCCAGTCGTCACCTCTTCCGTGTGAAAGTTCCCACCAACCTTCCCTGACCTCTCAGCCCAACGGGTGAATGGAGGAAGAAATACACAACCTAACAGAAAAGGTAAGTTACAAAGAAAGCGATGAAGCATTTGGTGCAGGGAGGCAGTTTTCCATGGTGGCTAATAGCACAGGCTCAGGCAACTGATGTCCTGGACTGAATCCCGCGCAGAGATAAAGAACATCTCCACCCTAATAGAATGTTCCATTGGACAGCACTGAAACTCACTTGTAAAAACCCAAGCAATGGATTGAAAAAATAACAACATACAAAGAAAGTAATTCTAGGCTTGTTTTCTAATTAAGTAATGATGGTGTGGCTGGAATGACTTGTTCTGGGGGTCTGTTGGAGGGGGCCTTACCAATGCAGGAAGCTGGACAAGGCAATGATCTTCCAGCTCAGACCTGAGTAGGAATTAACTAGGACTGTGTGCCGTGAGATGCTGTGGACTGGTTTGGAGAGACAGTCCCAGGGAGAGGGAACCGTGGGCAGGGAGAACCTGAAGGTAGAGGGAGCAGAACGCCTTTGAGAGAAGTACAACGTACCTGCCAAGCCTCTAATTCTGCAAGTGCATTCACGGTCCACATTGTGCCTGTGTTGAAAAAGAAAAGAATATGACCTAAATGCGACTTAAGTGCTGTAGGAAATAAACTCTTCTGATTAGCCCAGGTCGGCATGATCAGGAGGGATGATGTGCCGGAAGGTTTCCTATTAATTCCTTATGTTCAGTATTTGTTCATTTCACACGTAGTACATGTCAAATGGCAGTAAGAATTCTATTTAAAAATTCATTGAATGCCCCAAATAGACTGGAGATGTTACATAATGAATGGCAGTTCATAATCTTTTTATCTTCTGAAGATTTGTATTCCCACTGAATGCACATTTTATTCATGGGCATAATAATTATGAGTAGAGTATCAGATTTTGGTTTCCAGTGTGTTGTGTCCAAAACGTGGCATTTCAGAAGCCCATGAAGTGCTTGTTTAAAATGCATATTCCTTCTCTCCCTGACGCCAATGAGCTGGGTGGAGGCAGAGGCTCGGGTGCATCCAAGACTTGGCTCCATGGGTAACCCACTGCCATGGCATCGCGGCTGGAGGAGTAATGGGGGTTAATACTGCTTTACACGAGGTGCTTGCTGAAGGCTTTCCTCTTTCCCCGGGGCCAAGCAGGTGGAATTTGCAAAGCTGCCAGTGTCTTGGCTGCCGAGCCCATCTTGGTGTGCTTGCATCCAACTGCCTTGAGTCTACGTTAGTCAGGTTGGTGGAAGCCCTTTGTGCTAAACAACAAATCAACCTAATTAAGGTTCATAACACTAAGGAACTGGGGGGACGGGCAGGCCTCTGTAAAGTTGACAGAGGGGGAACCTGTGGGGTGGTTGGCTGCAGTCGTGTGGTAGTAAAAGTCACAGCAAAGAATCTCAAAGGTGTCACTGAGATTCTTTAAATGCAAAAAACATACTTTAATATTTTACTTTACTTTAAATGCAAAAAATATATACTTTAAATGCAAAATCATGAACAAATGAAAACATGGCTATTGTTTTAACAAATATGCACGTCCCCGAATCCCATGAATCTACTGAATCAGAACTTTCATGGTGGGATCTGCAGGGCTAACGCTCCCTGGGTGATTCTGTTGCACACTCAGGTTTGAGAACTTCCACGCTCCTGCCACGGATTCCAAAGTGCTTACTGGCAGCCTGGGGCCAGGCTGGCTACCTGAGAACTGCCTGGCATTTTGTTTCCGTTTCTGATTATTGACTTAACTCCAGGCTTCATTTGGATTTCCACCAACATCCTTTTCCTGCTCCAGGATCCGAAGACACCACATTACATTTAGTCATCATGTTCTAGTCACTACTGTTCTGTGAGAGTTTCTTAGAGTTTCCTTGTTTTCTCATGACTTTGGTAGCGTTGAAGAGTCCTGGCCAGGTATCTTGTAGGAAGTCCCTCAATTTGGGTTTGTCTCATGCTTTTCTTATGGTTATGCTGAGGTTATGGGTTTGAGGGGGGATATCATAGAAGTGCAATACAGGCATCCTTCAGTTTGCCGGACTGATGGGTATCAGGGCCCCGACGGGAACCAAAACTTAAGCATGCTCAAGTCCCTTATATAAAACGACTTAGTGTTTGCATATAACCTATGAATAGCCTCCTGTATACATTAAATCATCACTAGAGTCCTTATAATACCTAATACAATGACAGTGCTCTGAAAGTAGCTATTACATTGTATTGTTTTGAGAAATAATGACAAAGAAAAGATTGGACATGTTCAATATAGATCCAAGCATTATAGGCCTGGTTACATAGTCTGTGTCAGCAACATAATACTCTAGAAATATATACATTTTTGACCTGCAGTTGGTTGAATTTGCAGTTGCAGAACCCATGGATACAGAGGGCCAGCTATATCCTTCTTATGATATCATATCAAAGGTACACACTCTCAACAAGACCTATCACTGTGGATGCTGACCTTGACCGCCCAGAGGAGGTAGTGTTTGTACTGTAAGTCGTCCCTGTACCCCCTCACGGTGCTCTGTGGGGTCAGGAGGTACGGCCCATATCAGTGGAGAGGTGGGACTTCAGCCTCACGTTCCAGAGTGCAGAGTATCTACATAAATTACTTGGAATTCTTTTGTAAGGGAGATGTGTCCACTGTCCCCATTCATTTAATCATCTATGGATACCAATATGGACTCATGGATATTTATTTATTTATTTGTGTATTTTTCAATTAGAGTTTGCTTTCAATATTATTTTGTATTTGTTTCATGTGTGCGGCATAATTGTTAGACAATTATATAACTTATGAAGTGATCCTCCAGGTAATTCCAGTGCCAACCCGGCACCACACAGAGTTACTACAATATTATTGACAGTACTTCCTACGCTGAACTTTACATCCCGTGACTGGTGTGTAACTGCCAACTTGTACTTCTTAGACCCTTCACCTCCTTTACCCAGTCCCCCAGCCCCCTCCCCTCTGGCAACCACCAGTCTGCTCTCTGTGTCTATTAGTCCATTTCCATTTTGTTCTTTAGATTCCACATATAGTTGAAATCATATGGTATTTGTATTTCTCTGACTGAATTATTTCACTGAGCATGATACTCTCTAGGTCCATCCATGTCATCACAAATGGTAAGATTTTATCTTTTCTATGGCTGAGTAATATTTCATTGCATAAATGTACCACAGCTTTTTTATCCACTCATCTGTTGATGGATACTTAGGTTGCTTCTATATCTTGGCTGTTGTTAATAACATAGCAATGAACGTGAGGTGCATATATTCTTTTGAAGTAGGGTTTTGGGTTTTTTCAGATAAATACTCATGGGTGTATATTTTATACTCCGGGTTATAACCCAATGCTATGTTATTTAATTCATTGCTCCAGTTTTCCAGCTTTGACCATTGGAAGCTTGTTCAGACTGACTCCCGAGTCCCTTTGATACACCCCCATTTTCTGTTTATTGAGCTCTTCATGAGTTGTGACACCACAAGATGCTCCAAGCTCCCCTTGTGTGCCCCCATCCCAACCCTAGAAGCCACCATTTCTCCCAGAGTTCTTTTCTAAAACTTAAATTCCTGCCTCCCAACCTCAGAGTCTCAAGTCCAGTTAACCTAAGGAGGGAGCGTGAGAATGTTTTATTTTTTTTAACAAAATAAAATAGAGCATACTTATAGTAAAAATAAATTCAAACAACGCAAAGGTTATATAAATAGATATATAGATATGCATGATATAGATATAGACAGAGAGAGTCAATCATTCCTTCAAACTAAAGGCAACCTATTGCCAGTTTCTTATCACCCTTTCCAAAACATTCTACACATATTTCCAAATATGCATCGACATACATTTGTAGTTATCACCCACCTTCTAACAGAAGCGACAGTACATTAAAGCACTCTATTTGCCTCCTGCTGCTTTCGCTTACCATGTCTTGGGGATTGTTCCACGACCACAGATCAACACCCTCCTTGCCTACAGTGGCAGAGAGCTTCCGTGGATGGCCATGGCACACTTTACTCAACCCACTGTTTATTGATGAGCATTATTGTCTCTGGGTTTTGCCATTATAAGCAAGTGCTGCTAAGAACTTCCTGTGTGTAGATTTTCATACGTGTGTTAAGACATCACTTTGCTGAACTAACAGCAGTGAAGTCACTGAGCCTAAGGGAACACACCTGCACGTTCTGATGGGTGTTGACAAACTGCCATCCAAAGAGGTTATGGCAACACACATTCCCATGACAATGTATGAGAGCACATTTTCCCCACATTCTTGACAATGAAATGCATTGTCGGCTGGTTTTATCTTTGCCAGTCTGATAAGTGAGCAGTGGTACCTCAATGTTCAGATGTTCATGACTTTGAGTGACATCAGTTATATTTTCCTACATTAATAAGTATCTGGAATGTTGTATGTGTATAAACTCCCTATTCTTGCCTTTTTTCCTTTTTTTTCCTAATGGGTTATCAGTATTTTTATTGGTTTGTAAGAGCTCTTTTTATATATTTTTTCATATATATATAAATATGAAGAAAACAAGTATACCCTTATTTTCTGTGTCATACATTTTTTTCCATAATAGATATGTTCCTACAAGTTTCCCAGTGACTCTGATGACCGCCAGGTCGAGGAGCCGCTGCTAGGGAATTGCACACTAATCAGGGTTAATATGCCCCACGTGTGGGCCACCTCCACGTCCTAGGTAAAGACAACTGAGGCCTACCGGGCGGGGCCTGAGGGGAAACCCTGGTCTGGAATCATCGCATCTACGAAAGTAGGGATTCCCAGCAGCAGGCCGGCCCTTTGAGGAGTGAGAGGCGAGAGGCGAGAGGCGTTACCACAGAGATCAGCACGCTGACTCCGTCTAGTGCGACGGAAAGGCCACCCCTCCCCCTCCCTGGAACTGGGCACACTTCAGACCGGGATGGCAGAGGGAGACTCTTGTAGCGTAACGCAGGACACACCTGCCGTGGCGTTGCTAATCTGGTGGCACAGGAATCCTGATGGTCTCGCACACCGCACATCCGGAGGGCAGACGAGATGGAAGGCACACCTTCCTTTTCTTTCTGCCACTCCCTCCCCTGGCCCTGATGCCTCCTCCCATCAAGATGGAAACGAACAGAGCACAGACCAGCAGGAGAGAGAAAGCAGAAGAGGGTCTTGTGGGAAAGAGAGACAGGACAGGAGGTCCAGGATAAAAGTGAGGGAGGGAGCTCCCCCTTGGGTGCCTAAGGGTTACAAGGAGAATCCTCTTTCAGGAGAGAAGGGAGAGCTGGAGGGAGCCACTCCAGACAGCTGGTCCCTTTCTGGTCTCTAGAATGGATTGGAATGTTCTGCTGAATGTGAAATGAAAGGGCTGTTTTGTACATGACTTTGGACTCTGTGTCTGGCTAACTATATCCATACCCCTCCCTCCTTCCCAGACGCTTATGGAGAGGAGGGCTGGGTATTTAGGGCTTCCTTCTGGGATTGGACTCAAGCTGAGGAATTAGGGGCATTTTAGATGAAAGGCACAGACCAGTGATTCTCCAAGCCTAGTCCGAGGACCAGCAGGCCTCAGCATT